CCCCAAAACCCCAAAACCCCCTATTATAATCATTGAGATAGCGATAGAAAAGCATAATTATCAAAATTTATATCAATAGCATACTATCAAAATAAAACAAAACTCTTTTATTATTTATTAATCCATCAGCTTTTGTTAATTTATATATTTTTATTAGTTCTTTTATAATCTATTGATAATCTAATTCGTGCCTCTTGAAAGCTTCTTGTGTCAATACTTTCATCATCATTTTAAAGATTTTTATCATTAGCTTGGATTTCCTCATCACTATTTTATGTATCATAATTACCAGAACCACTTGCCATAAGTAACTTATTCTCTCTAGATTAAGTTCTCTCTCTTGTATCAGGAATACATTTTAACTCTGATATTTCTTTTTCTAGCGTCCCATAAATTGCATAGAGTGCAACTAATGAACAAAAGAATGAAATGAAATTTACTAAATAAAAATACACTGAGTTGTCATAAAAGCCATTTTTTATGTAATTGTTAATCAAATAATCAAAAAAGAGAGTTTAAATCAGAGTTTAGACTCCTTAAAGATAACAATATAGCATTCCAACTATTTTCACATTATTTCTAAGCATCTATATCTTTGCTAAATCAATTGAACCACATATGCAAAGCATATAATAGAGACTATAGATTACTATACCCTCAAAATAACCCATAGAAATCCAAAATCTAGAAGTAACATCAATTATCTCTAAAAAGTAGCAAATAATTTCTATAAGCTCTAGTAATGCAAGCAGTCCCATAAAAAATACCATGAGTTGAGTTCTAGTTAAAATATTTTAAAGAATAATAAAATTACCTCCTTCCTTTGAACCTCTTTAAGACTAGATAACCTACAATAATTTAAAGTAACTCTGAAACTAAAAGATAAATACCCTAAAACGAGATTATATTGAGTAAGCTTACAATCAAAATATCGTTGCTTATAACATTTTAAGTAGCAACAATTTGAATCTTATTGATAAACCTAAACTTGAAAAACAAAATAGAATGGCAAAGTAAACTTCTTAGTACTCCATTAATCTTGAGAGTGCTTAAGAAGCTCGGGACCTTCCACCTTTTAAGGATTTTCTCCTCAGCCTCCTCATCTTGATTTTTCTATTGCTCTTAAATACTATAAGGTTTCTTAATTTAACCCTAATCGTCAAATCTAATGGAGTATTTAGAGTCAGTCTTTTCCATGTGGTATTAGGCAAAGAAATCCTCAACTGAAATTACTGTTTTATACTAGTCTATGTATTTAGTTGAAAGCACTATAGCCTATTCATTTAATAGCAGATCAGCATCTATCGGATCGAAGATGTAGTAAAGATAGTTAATCACAACCATGAATAATAAAATTACACCTGAAATAATCATCATAAAATTTTTGTTATCAGACATCAGGTAAGTAAACTGATAAGCAAAATACTCATTAGTAAACCATAGTCCATTTATTAGAAATATGTATCAGCGACTAAACCATTTAGCTAATCCAGTCAAGAATATAGTACTCATTGCTAGTCTAAGTATTACAATGAAGTGAACTAAATGAAGATTATTATTATTTAAAAACTCAGCATCTTTATCTGCATAAATATCATATATTCCAACCTATACTAACATTATTCTGGCTAAAATCTTACCGCGATCTTAAGAACAGCAAGGCTAGTACACATTATAAGAATAAGAATATCTGATCTTCTTATATATTCTAGTACCATACCTAAGATCAAATACATTACAACTGAAGAAAGCATGACTACCTATATGTCCTAAACCCCAATATCCTTTTTTTTTTGATCTTCAGTTTTTTCATAAAATGTTATAGTCACCAATTGAAACTGTAGGCCAGCTAAACACATAAAATTAGTTATCCAGCTTAGCCAAAAGATCCTTATCTACATTTTCCTTACTATCTTTACGTAAATAAATCTAGATAAGTCTGAACTTTATCAGTTCTCTTTACTAGATCTATCACTTTGAGATTTCTCATATTCACTTTCATAATCTCCAGATACTTTTATCTTTGCCAAATTTTTTATATAGTTTTAATCTTCTGAATCCTCATGAATTTTCTAGCCCACTTCATTTGTAAAACCCGAAAACCTTCCTCTTGAAGATAAATCCTTATCTGAGTAAATCTTCTTATTCTTAAGTTAATCACTTGATGTAAACAGCCTTTTGAGCTTGCTGGATCAATTATCATTAAAGCTAGATTACCCTGGAATCTTTAGAAAATTTCCATATTATTTGTATTCATTCTGACCTTTCTGTACTTACTTGGCATCTATTTTCCTATCAGCTAAATTCCTCCTACTTAGACTTAAGTGAGAGCTACTGTCAGGATGCTCTGACATGAGAGATTCCTTGAATATATGAATACTATCCATATTAAGTAAGCAATTATGAAATTAAGTTTAAATTATTAATAAAGTAGAATATTAAGACAAATACAGGCTCAGGATTTTCGTGTCAATTATTCGATAAGCAGACACTTGTAATTGAAGGGGCTCTAGCCATCAAGTTGAAAAAGTTAATCGTCTCATGCTTTGCATTAAACTTCCCTTGAGAGATAATCTTTATCTCCATTCTTTCTTCTCTTACAAACCTTAAGATAGCAAGCATGCAGGCTATACTTAAGAACGCTTCTACAGATTTTGATATTATTTAGAATGACTACTAAGTGTAATATCTATCATCCAGTACCAGATAGATATAGGTGTCGAAAATCAAAGCTTAAAATATATATAAAGTCCCGCACATTATGCCAAATAGTAGTGAAGTATATTTTCTGTTATATTTGAGCATTGCAACCTTAGCAAAATCGAATGGTCCATAAATACATAGCGAATAGTAAAGTGTATAAGTTATTTGCCCTTCAATAGTAAAGAGTATGACAGTTACCATCTCATAATTATGATATATAAAGATTTTGAAAAATATCTGAATCAGCTCAGTCACAAGGCCGATTCCAAAAATAATTAGATATATTAGGTATCGTCTCCCTCTGAAAAAATACACAATTGTGAAGCCCAAAATAATTTAGTAGACCTCTGAGCTCAATAGAAAGCAGTCCTAAATGATTAATAAATTCTAAACTTACAAATAAACTTCCTGCTAAAATGTTAAATTCAGATGCTTTGTAAAGGATAAGCTTTTTGTTTATGATCCTATATTTGAAGAATTAAAAAGAGCCACAAAGAATAAGTCTAAAAAATCCAGGATATTTGAGACACTCGAGGTACGTAGGTGCTTTGTATCTCTACAATATTTTTTCTTTTTCTTTTTCATTTAGGTTGTAATTCTTCTAGAAACCATCATGCTTTTTGTTAAATTTCTAACTAGAGGCACTAATTGAACAGTTTTCAAAAAACTCATCAAGCAAAATAATCTATTTGACTTGCTGATTTGTTTATGAGGTCAAACTAATTGCTTATTCATTGATTAAAAACCCCTCGTCTATTGGATCCAGCTTATAAAACTTGTAAATCAGTATAGATAATAATAGTGTCAGCAATCCTGATCCTATTAGAGTAAAATTTTGATTTAGGTATTGTTGTTTGCTAAATTAGTAGGAGAAATATTCATTAGTAAACCAAAAGCCCTAAAATTATTTTATCTATAAGAATTTACTAGAACAAGGGGCAGCCATTCTCTGCTGAACCATTTCGCTAAGCCTAGAATAATTATTTAAATTAAATATTGATAGATACCGACAATGAATACTGTAGCTAAAGCAAGCCTTGCACAAATAATAATGTGAACCAGCTCATAATCCTCAATGTAGAACTAATGCTCCTTGTTCCCGATAAATTAATCATAAATTCCAAACTAACTTGATTTTACTAAATGTAGTCAAACCTTACAATTATTTTGAATGCCGAATAAGTTATTAATAGCGCAGTTATTGCAATGTCTGGTCTTTTTAGATGCTCAAGCATTGTCCCAACTAGTAAAAATGTAACTCCTACCGCCAATAGTATAACTTAAATATCATGATACATCAAAGGTTGAGTATTTTACTACCCAATAGGAATGAAGTTTTTATTTATATTAATCATCTCTTTTTACATATACTCTTCGTCAATCTTAGCTGTTCCTTTTTTCAAACTCTCAAAGTTGAAAAATGTGATGGTAATATACTCAGTTGTAAACCCCATAAGTCCTACAAAGTTTACGATATAGCTTAGCCAAAATATGATAAGTTGCTTCTTGAAGACTTTCTTTTTAAGGAGATCATCTTCTAAGGTATTAGATTTGAACTTGGTACTTTTTTCATTATTATCGGAGAATATTAACCGAGAAGAATGCCTTCCCTTTGAGTACTCTACTGAAGGTTTTGGCATTCTAACCGAGAATCTATTTGATAAAGATTTGTAGTCATTTGATATTCTATTTTAATAAATGTCAGTCTTTTTTAAGTCAGCCAGTCTACTCTAATCTCTTAGTGAACCAGGAGAATACGGATACATTGTTAGTAGTCTATTGTCTAGAAGTGCTCAAGACCCTCTTTCGTATTGTGTCCTAGACTATCTATTTTGCTGCATTGTGCTTGTTTAGTGACTGCTAAATTCAGTCTGATATAAGGGATAGTTCATTTCGGACTCTTAAAATTATTATAGAATTTATAACAATTTAATTAATAAAAATCTTATAATAATCAATAATTAGAATAGCGGGGTTTTGGGGTTTTGGGG